ATAAATATGCGTAGATATAATAAATATATTATAATATACACAAGTCGTCAAAAATAATACTCTCATAAAAAATACTATTAAATAATCATTTATTATTTTTTATGAATAATTAAACTACTCAATCATAATTAGAATCATATTTCCTCCTTCCTTGTCCAATGAAAGGTGTGTCATATGTGTCGAAGTACCTACGAACTCGGCGATCGCCCTCAGAATGCAGATACACCACTTCTTCTAATAGCTTCATCAATTCTAAAGTAGAGCTGCTCATGGGTACTTCATGTGTTAATCCAAAAAATGTGCTCTGTTCGGTGTCTAAGACATTTGATAGCTGAAACGTTATTTTTATTTAATAAAAACGTAACGACGTGACGTTTTCTAATGGAAGACAAGAACACAAATTCTTTTGAAAACTCCTTGAGAATTATGTAAGGATAGCAAGCTGACTAGTTATGGCAAGACTAAGAAAGTAAGCAAGGCAAAAATAAGTAGTAATTTTTTTTCATCGGCTATGTATGTCTAAGTATACTTATATGTAGGTTTTGGGACCATGATTATTAGAATAATAAAACCGGCCGTTAACTGCATTTAAGGTAGGTATATATTATAGTAGCGACTCACCCTCGCATCGCTCGGGTTCGCCTCTAGAAAAACAATAACAAATCAATCCAGTGAAAGTCCCGTCAACATTAGCCGGAACAAACAGACAGACAGACATACAGACAGATAGACAGACAGACAAAAATTGTAAAAATGTGATTTTGGTATATGTACCGTGTCTATCCATAAGCATTTAGTGAAAAGCTGTTATTTTGACATTATAAACAGACACTTCAATTTTATTTATCTGTATAGATAATATATTATAGTAACACATTGGAATTATCTGTAATGTTAGCTGGATAGTGGATATAAATAAATAAATAAATAAATGCACCCTAGGATTGATTTGCGAAAAGATTTTAAAAATTCAATCTTAATAGTTCTAGTTTAGTACAAGTTTCAGTTATTTTTCGATACTAACGGTGATATCTCTTTTAATCTAGAAGAGATGTCAACGTTATTATAGAAAACTGAAAATTGTTGCAAACTGCAAGCAAAATAAACAGCTTTACTCGCAGGCCGCAATATGTCCCTATATTTTCCCTTTCCAAAATGTACAGATTTTACATTAGTCAAAAGTGCTATTCGATCAAATACTGATCAACTGAAATTAGTGAGTAAAGCATACCGTACAAGTTTCTTTAATGATGAAAGTATGTGGAATTAAAAAAAATTAACTCATATGCCGTATCCAATAGCTATAATCTATCTATATAAAATATAAAAGAAAGTCGTGTTAATTACATTATTCATAACTCAAGAACGGCTGAAATAATTTGGCTGAAAATTGGTGGGGAGGTAGCTTAGAACCAGGAGGATACTTTTTATCCCGATCGACCGCGTTCCCGTGTGACGTGACATATAACTCAAGAACGGCTGGACCGATTTTTATGATATTAGAATTTTTGGATTTCTCTTAGTCCGAAATAGGATAATAAGTATTAAAACATTACAAAATTAACGAAAAAAAAATTATATGGCTAAAGCTGGCTAGTAACTATTTATATCTATTTAAAACGTACCTAGCGACAAACTCGAACGAAGCGAGGGTGAGCCGCTAGTGTTGTATGTTGTTCATCTTTCGGTTTTTAAAAGAGCAACTATTGAGATTCTCGCCGGCTCGTGCTTGTATAAGTCTAATTAAATCAAGTTAAATTTCATTTCATTTCAAACAGCTTTTTGGAATCTGGTTTGCCCAAAAACCTTGCTTTAGTTTAACTTCAAAATTGCACACAATTACAACATCATACATTTCCGCATTTCCCCTTAATTTATCCTATAATCGATCATATCTGGACCGTAATTTTGAACCTTCACATAATTTCAGTATCCGGACATATTGACACTAATGATCATACGTCAATTTTCAAACGCTAAGCCACTTTGGACAACTCACCTCTAGACTCTAGGACATTATTATTTGATCCATCGTAGGTACTATATTCACATCGAGTGGTTTTCTTAATATTAAAATTATCTATAATAAAATTGTAACTGAGCCGAATCTGTACATTAAATATTTTTTGGAAAATCTTATTGAAATAGACATTATCATCGATACATGGCCGGAGGCCGAATGGAGGCCGAATCTATAGTTTTTAGAATTTTTGTCTGTCTGTCTGTCTGTACCGCATCACGGGAAAACCACTAGACAGATTTTGATGAAATTTGGAATGATAATAACTGGTTATCCGGGTCAACATATAGGATACTTTTATTGCAGGAAAATATCTAATTTCTGAGAAATCTATACTAAACGTTGAAACGTGAGTCGCTAGTATTTTATAAATCATAAGAAAATCCCAGAAAAGAACTAACCGCCATACGCGTTACTAAAACATGATAAGTATGCACATATATCTTACCACCCCGTTTTTTAAAACAAGATCTTTATAATAATATATGTACCTACCTGTGTATAAGTAAAAAAGTATGCGAATGGAAAAGTAGTAGGTACGTATATAAATAATTGAAGTTTAAATATGTAATAATAAATATGTTTTATTTTATCAGAACTTACCACCGAAGCAAATAACGAACAGATTACACAGTAAATAGTAGCTTGCATCCAAGTGAAATACATTGCACAATTTTAATAGGCAATTTCATTTTAGTATTTGGGGAAAAGAAAGAACTAATCTTTGAAACTCAAAGTGTTAGTGAAATTGTATTGGGTCCATAAATTTCCATATCGATATAGCATAAAACTATATACGAGCATATTATGTATTTCGAATAATAGTTTCATTATATTTGCATTGGCGTATCTAGCGTTATTTTTCAGGTTTCCTGGGCCTCTACTACAAAAAGAAATCGAACTCGAAAAGGAAAATTTATAAATCAAAAGTCTATGGTCTTAAAGAATATATTATGTACGTTCACGTTGTGTATTCAAAAGTAACTAAACGGAATGTACTGTATAGTAGTATGTAATAAAAACTAAGTAGATACGTACATAGATATCTCGGCTGTAGGTAGGTAGGTAGAGACATAATTATGTGATTTCAATAATTTTTGTGTGATATTTCTTAGGTGTCTTATGGCCGATTTCACTAACGTCACCTAAGTTTAAGGGATCCCCTAATCATGGCTAGGGGGCTGTTAGCAGACAGTTTCTCTTTCACCGACAGTTAGGGGTCACCTAAATGTTAAAATGCCACCTAAATATAGGTACTAGAAATACGGGCTCTGATGATGGTAAAAGAAATTTAATTTAGGGGCTAGTTTAGGGGAATTTTTAAGCTAGGGATCCCATACGTAGGTGGTAGCTTATGGGATGTTGGTGAAATAGTAGAATTTCGAACCAGTAACTTAACATCCTGAGGTTGGCACTAGACCATACTGGGGTAAACACGGACCACCCAGCCCCCCTCTATATACGCCTATGTATATTTGTCACATACCTACACTTTTATTCGTACTTGTAATGAAAATGGATAATTTTTCATAATTCTTTTTAAAACAATTTTTACTATCGATATAAACCACAAAACAGCCATTCTTCAAAAACGTCTGTCGGTCTGTGTTAATTTGTTCGCATTCCATACAAAAACTACTACTTAGGACGGATTTTCCGTCGGATCGTCGTGGTAGAGTGATTCTGCGGCGCCCCGTTAAGACGGGGAAGGTTCTGTTGGGTCTTAGTGGGTAGTAGGCTTTGCTAGCCGCCACATACCTGTTCTACAAATGATATGGGTAAACATAGGCGTATCTAGGGGAGAACAAGGGTGGGCGATTTACTGTCAACATTACTAAGAAGTTAAGAAAGACGCAACATGCTGAAAAGAGAACGAATGAAATGCGTTATTATTTATTACTAGGTGTTATTTATGATCTCTTATAAATGACTGTGGTTAGTTCAGCAGGACTTAAGCCATCTCCATTCTAAATTTCACTCAAATCCGTTGATCCATTACAGCGTAAAAAATCAACAATAAAAGAATTATTTACAAAAATGAAAACCCCGACTGCATACAAAGCGAGATAAAAAGATGGGAACTTAAATTTTTATACAGCACTCGAAAGGCATGAAAAAAAAAATTCTGTACAGCCTATAACACTCGCGTTGACAAGACGTATATAACGACGTATGAATATTCAAAATCGGTTAAACCGTTTAATTATTCCGAGGGAACATAGGCTCGGACATACATACATACAGTTCAAACACATAACCCTCCTTTAGACTTCACCGCATTTACATATATTAATCTAATGACTAATAATATTATCATCCCCTAACGAGAATCCGACTTACTCTTATTACACAAACATTTGCACTCTTAATTATTTTAATTTTAAATATCTCCTCCCTTCTGGATAGAATTCAAAATAAATAAAACCCTGACAAAGTATTTGACATTTTATTTAAAAATAAGAGTAAAAATGTATATATATTTTGCGTAATAACTGTTTATATTAGAAATGTAACAACTATAGATACAAAAATACTGCAAACATCGTATTATCTTCAAAACTCTATTCATATACATATTAATATTATGTACACGTATTTACAATTTTCTATGCCAAGGAAATTTTAAGTTCCAAATAAAATCATAAATTAAACAAGAATTAGCAAAATCTCAAATAAAAAAAAACTTGTGTGTGTATTTATGTAAGCATGTATGAAGTTATACTTTTTTGGCGTAACAGAACAAAAAGCTAAAGATTTCATACCGTATGTTACAACTCTCTGTTTGTAAAAGAAATACAGCTATCTTCATCATGTCGCTTTTTGGCAGTCAACGTGCGCGCGCATCGTAAAAACTTTACTCTCATAATTTTTTCCAAACGTGCCAAAAGAAGTATAACTTCAAAAATATTCAATAAAAACAAAACTATAATTTATAAATTAAAAAGATATTTTTGTTTGACATTTTTTTCGAATAATGCTAACCCTGGACTGTTAATAAAGTGTTAGCATATTGGAATTCCGGGCTATTTTCATACTCGGACATATCAAGGGCCACTTCACAGCTCTCTCGAACCACTGGCCGTGGGTCATTTAGATACCTGCAAGGAAGAATAAAAAAACTAAATTAAAGAATCAGAGTAAACTTCATTTAAACTACCTAAATTATTAGAATTGTAACATGTCAATTTGCTGGCAAAAAAATATATTCTCTTCACAAAAAGTAACATCATTGTATTGTTTTAATGTTTTAAAAAAATCAAGTCATAAACATAATACAACTTCTTCACATCTATAGTAACATTTAGAAAACTGTCTACTATCAATAGAATTTAAAATGGAGGATGTTCGTATGTTATCTAACATCAGGCTATGGAAATTAGAAGCAGCACAACTATACATAATTAAACTATGCAAGCAGATCCACATGCAATAGCTAGTTTATAATATTATTATGCTGACACTTTTTTAATTTATAATTTTTTAGAATTAACCTCATTTAGATTGAATATTGGAAATTATAAAATATTTGTTTCAATACTTTAATTTGTTTGTTGTCTAATGATTTGTTTTATAAACCTTTACCTTTTCAGGACTTCTGTGCATTCATCAGTAGCAATAGAACCTAAAGCTTCAGCTGCTTCATGACGAACCATCTCATGTTCAGTAGTGTCCTCCAAAGTTCTTTTAAGAAAAGGTACACTGCGCTCATCTTGCATTTGGCCAAAAATGAAGGCAACTTCATGTCGGAACAGTGCACTACTTGCTTTAAATCCTGGAATACATTAAGCATATAAGATTTTGAATATTACAGGATTATGGTATGATCCCCCTTGCAATCTTAGTGACCAGCGAGGGAGGCACACCGGTGTGACATTAAAAGGGCTGGATGAGATAAGATTGCAAAAAAAGAAAGTTATTTGCCAATATTTTGCACATTAAAGAATTAAGTAAAACATTTAAAATTAATTATTTTCAAATTCAATTACTATTATATTTATTTTTCATAAAATAGTTGTAATGATTTTCTTAAAACATAGACCATACCTTCTCCTAATGCATTAATACTCTCAGTCGTTCCCAAATTGCGCAAGCTGAACATAGCCCTGTATCTATCAAATAGTGATTTATTTTCATTCATCATTGTCTCCTTTAGTTTTTCAACATTCAGCTCATTGCTAGGAGGAGCAGGATCTATAGAAGCATAGCGACTCTGCGATAAACTCTCCTTTGAGTTTTCTTCCTCAATCCATTTTAACCTTTGTAATGCTATCTGGCAAGTTTCAGCTACTTCTATTGCAGAATCATGTTGATATTTTTCTAGTATTGTTTGAAGATCTGGATCCCCTATAGCTCCAAGTGCCTCACCTGAAAAAGAAATGAATAAAAATTAGCTACAATTCATTTATATTAAAATTGCTTTATAAATGTATAAATAATAAATAACATAGTTTTAAGATTTGGGCATAAATAATAATCCTAGCTCCATATTAAATGGTAACAGTAGTGAGTAGACTTGTTGACTTCAAACTTATGAAATGTAAAAATACTTATCTGTTAACTTATCAATTCATATTATCTGGAAAGTGAGGAGGTAACTTACTGATAAAATAAATACTTAACATACCGGCTTCATGTCGAACTATAGGATCTTGATTTTTATCTTCTAAGACGTTTCTCAAAATCGGGATTGCTCTTTTATCTTGCATCTGGCCTAGACAATAAGCTAGCTCATGTTTTAAAAGCACTGACTCATCTTTAAAGCACTCGCTGATACATTTAATTGCTGTTTCTCCACCCAAATTGCGAAGTGTAAAAAGCGCTCGAAAACGTTCCTTCATAGGCCTCTGTGGGTCGTTTAATACTCTTCCAATGTTTTCTACCGCATTCTGACTAATGTTTGCCATTTTTTTTTATCCAAATAACTTTTAAATAAACTAAACAAGAACAGCGTGCTCACACTTATTTACAAAATGAACGTCAGATTCATGCCTTCATGGATGACAAATAAAAATCAGATTTTACTTTTGGCAATTGACATTTAAACAGCGACGTCCGATAGACACCGATGACACCAACGACAGGAGACAGATTATTAATTTTATATATTAATTTAAATAAACGCGGGACGTTAATTTTTTTTGTATAATTTAATACTTTTTTTTATATTTAATTGATCTTATTATTTCAATCTGCTGTTACACAAAAAACAGTAACTTGTTGTAAAGTTAATTGACTTGTTGCAAAGATCATTGCTGATGTTTTTTAGCGCTTTCATCAAAAATATCAGACTGTATTTCAAACAAATACTTATGTTTGTACGTCATGTTAAATTAAGAAATTTTAAAATAAATTACTAATATAAAATGTTTGACTTTTGAACAAAACAAACTTAAATTTTTGTTAAAACTTTTAGAAAAACGTAACATCTGTATTTTGCACCTTATTAAATTATAAAATTATTATGAGGAAAGATATTGTTATAATTATTCATTACATTACATTTTCTAGGTAATTAAATAAGGAGATTACAAATTACACTACTTGATAAATAGTACTTTGCAACTTCACAAATACTAAACGAATGGAAATACGTCAATCAAATGTTTGCGTCAAATTCAAAATATTTTACCTTACATGTTTTATATTATAAATTAGCGTTTTCTCTAATTATTGTTGTTAAAAATAATTAATACAGGTCTTTTCTATACTATAAAGGACACAAACAAAAAGCAGTGAGCTATTTAGGCAAACAAGGATACATATTAAGGTTATCAAAAAGGTCAACTTGCTTTTTGGCTTTTGCTTATCATTGTGTGTATGAAATGGAAAGTGGTTTTATGATAAGAAAATAAAGTTGTAAACTGTTATCGCTATTTTATCAAATATTTATTACGACCTCTTTCTCACTTATATTTATACCTTAGTCTGAAGACAGACACAGTATACAGTACTACTATATATATTTATTTTGTGCTGTTGATTTTTAAGAATATTTATAATGGCCAAAGATTTGCCAAAAACAATGAAGGCTGTGGGCTTGTATAAATATTTACCAATAACTGATCCAAGTAGCCTATTGGATTTGGAAGTGAGCTTACCAAAACTACAGAAAAATGAAGTCTTAGTAGAAGTAAAAGCTATAGCAGTTAATCCCATTGATACGAAACAACGGGCACCAAAGCCAAATATAGAAAGATCACCCAGAATTCTAGGATGGGATGGTGCTGGGATTGTTGTAGATAAAGGTGAAAATGCAAAAATATTTGAAGTTGATGATCAAGTTTTCTTCACTGGTGACTTAAGGAAAAATGGCTGTAATGCACAATATGTTGCCCTTGATGAGACATTAGTGGGTCCAAAACCAAAGAATTTGTCATTTGAACAAGCTGCAGCTATGCCTTTGACTTCTGTTACAGCTTATGAATCTTTATATGAGCGCTTGCAGTTATCCAGAAATGATTCTGGTAAATCATTATTAATAATTAATAGTGCTGGTGGGGTGGGTTCCGTGGCTTCACAGTTAGCAAAAAACCTGGGTTTGACAGTTATTGGTACTGCTTCAAGGAAAGAAACTATAGATTTTTCCCGTGAGCATGGAGCAAGTATAATTCTTAATCATTCTGAAGATCTAATACCACAACTTGAAGCTAATGGCTATGGAAATGGTGTAGATTATATATTAGTAAATTATGATCCATACCCCTATTGGGATATCTTAATGAAGGCAATTAAACCTCAAGGAAAAATTTGCTTAATAGTAGATAGTAGCGGGTTGGTTGATTTAAGGCCATTAAAGGACAAGAGTATCACTTTAGTCTCTGAGTCAATGACTACCAAAATCAAATATGATACTGAGGATAAATACAAACATCATGAAATGTTAAAAGAAGTCTCAAAATTGCTGGAAAATGGTCAACTGAAATGTACTTTAAAGAAAGTTCTTACACCGATAAATGCTGTTAACCTGAGAGAAACACATAAACTTATAGAAAATAAACACACAATTGGAAAAGTGGTTTTGGCAGGTTTTTAAATGAAAATGTATAAGATATTTAATGCTACTATTAATATGGTTTGTGGTATGGTTAATAAAAGGTCCCCGAATGAAATTTTGTTTAGTTTTTTAATATGTTACAATTAATTTTAGTTAAATTTAATTTACTATTTTTTATTTATGAAAATGCACTTGTTCTCCTTTAAATATTGGCTATTTTTCTTTTGAAAATACAGTCAGATTTATGTTTGCATGTAAATAGAGAATCATCTGAATTCCAGGTCTTGTGGAAATGAATGGCAAAACCAAAATGAAGAGTTATAATTTTAGAAGTCTATGAGTATTCATTTGTATTTATATATATTCCACCATAGTAACCAAATTACTGAACTGTTTTTAATAAATAAGGTGTTAATGAGTTTGTTAATTATTTGTGTATTCTAAAGTAATGTAATAGTATTGTAAGTCATTCTAATTTCATTACATATCACTCGCTTGCAATTATTTTCTTACAACTAGTGATGACTGACAGAGCATAGTGTTACTCCCATAGAACCTCTCCATTCCTGCTAATTTTGTCTAGGTTCGAATCTCTGCAAGCAGCCTATAATGAACTTCCATTGTACATAAAATATTATTTACCATATTGTAGGTAGCTTAAAATTAAACTAATGGAGAATTCAGCAAAATATACTCCGATTTATATAATAAAAAAAAAATTACTAAAGAATTTAAAATATCACACAAAAACTTTTTAAAACTTGTCCTTTAAACTTTTTAAGATATATTTATGAAGCCTTAATTTCAAAAAGTGAGGATTGTCGACAAGCGAAGGTATATGAGGAGAATGTTTATAAGGGAAGATACGACAGTGAATTCGACTTCTCGACTTCGACTATTGAAATTTGAATCTATACTAATATTATAAAGAGACAGTTCGTTTGAACACGCTAATCTCAGGAATTAATAATAATTTCGGGAATATATAGTCAGTTCTTTGAGGAAGGCTATATATCGTCATACTACTATCCAAAGGAGCGGCCCTGTTGAAAAACATCAATAGATTCCCATCAAAAGCGACAAAAGCCACATAGAGACCAATAAATTTCTATGTGGCTTTTGTCGCTTTTGATGGGATCCTATTGGAGTTTTTAAATAGGGGGAGCAGTGATCATAAATGTCAACAAATCGGGCACAATTCCATACATTATTGTAAAATTGATGTTTATATCGAAAATTTAAACGCAAGCAAGGTCGCGGGTACTGCTAGTATATAAATAAATTTTAGTTCTTCAAACATTCTAAACAGATTTAATGATATTAATCTTGCTAACTTCTGTTATAAATGCAAAATTCGGTACCTCTGTTACTCCATCATGCTGAAACGGCTGGATCGATTTTGATGAAATTTAGTAAACAAGACTGACATGAAATAGCACATAGGCTACCTACCGTTAAGCACCTAGGAGTAATACGCTAATAAATTATTTTAAATGCTGCTCTGTTGGAAGCAAGTTTTAGTATTATCATGCTAATAATTGTAGTGACAGCAAAACAATTAACATATATGTGAATAATTTAACAACACGTATAAATATAACATGGTACCCTCAAGTTATGTCAATATACTTAGTCTTAAATTGGTATCGAAGCTACTAATGATCGAGCTATCGATTTTAGAATATACCTATTTCATTTATCTCACTTATTTTTATTTAAAATATCCGGACTGTTAGGTACCTTGAATGTTTAAATAACCCATAGGTTAAGGTTACTTTTATAATACCACACAGAAATATTTACTCCTAAAAAATCTTTATCCCTCTTCATATATTACAGTGAAAAATAGTTTATTTCAGATAATACTTTCTTAGTTTTGCAGTTTTACTTAAAAATTAAAATGTTAAATATACGCATATTTGACATTTTAAATAAAACTACATATTTACTAATACTTCTGTGTCTCAAATGCTTTACACTTTACAGCGATCATGGTCGCGGGAGAGACTAAGATTTAAAACGTCCCAAAGGTCATTTATATAATAATACTAGCGACTCACCCTCGCTCCGCTCGGGTTCGTCCCTAGGGTGGTCCACCCTTATCACTTAGGGGTATGGAAAATAGATAGTAGCCGATTCTCAGACCTACTGAATACGCATATAAAATTTGGTAAAAATCGGTAAAGCCGTTTCGGTGGAGTACGGTAACAAACATTGTGACATGGAAATTTTATATATAAGATAATAAATATATCAGGACATTAACACACAACACCATCTACTCCCATGGTAAGCTACGAGGCTTGTGTTATGGTTACCAGATAGTTGATACATTATACATATATAACTTTTAAATACCATATTATAAATGTACACACCCATGACTGGAGTACAAACATTCGTGCTCGTGTGATGAGCTTTCGTGCACATCACGCAAATGAATGCCCCCAGCGGGATTCGAACCCGTGGCCGCTGGCATAGCAAGTACGGCAAGTAAGTAAGGCACTGCAAACTGAGCCAAACGTGTCGTCAATTCATTATACATTATAGTTTTTCGTTCAACTTTATAGTTTTTCGTCAATTTTCCTTAAAAGTACCATAAGAAAACTGCCGAAAGAAACAGCTGCACTTACCATTAAAATAAAAAATAAAACGATACATACATCAGATTTTTTCGAAATACATCACTTAAAACTTTAAAAGGATAAAAGATTATTTGGGGGTAAAAATTTCTTTTATGATCTTACTTAAAAACTTACGCTGTGTTTAAACTTCCACTCAATCTCGCCTGAGATGAAACCCCCGTACGGAATATATGTAGATATTTAAACAGAGTAATAATGCGAAACCAGCAGGTATAATTTTATGACAAACTGGCATTGCCCGCGGCTCCGCCCGCGTTCAGATGACCAAATTCTTTTTTTACATATTAGTATACTCTTACATTGCAGTTTTTGTATCTTTTCTCAGAAATGAGACATTTTTCCGCGGTAAAAAGTATCCTATATGTTGACCCGGATAACCAGCTATTACCATACCAAATTTCATCAAAATCCCTCCAGTGGTTTTTCTTTGATGCGGTAACAGACAGACAGACAGACAGACAAAAATTCTAAAAACTATAGATTCGGCTTCTGTATCGAAAATAATGTTTATATCAATAAGATTTTCCAAAAAAATATTTAACGTAGAGATTCGGCTTAATTACAATTTTATTATATGTATAAAAATGTCACTTGAAGCGTTCGACTCTTTGCATTTTAGCTCCGCACGGCCCTCTCTATAATCTATGTACACATGAAAAACGTTTTCAGAGTAGATACTTTACCAGCAGATAGTTGTAAGTTAAAATGTTACTTGGTACATTGTTCAAAACCATATGGTTACGAAGGAGAAAATGACGGCGCGCTTTTACGTTCCAGACATTTACTAATTTACAAGCAACCTGCGTATTATTATAAGAAAAAATACTCTACCCAGTTTATTTTTTAAAGTTCATTTTTTTCCGTTACCGTTCAGCTAAACGGTAAAAATTGAACCCTTATAATTTCATAATGTCCGTCTGTCTGTCATGACCAGTTTACTTTAGTATATGTAGTAATCTTTTTTGAAATTCATGTCAAACAAGATTCGCAGAAGTAAACAGTGATAGTATTCTTTAAGTGCGTAGTCCCAGTTGTTTTTCAAGTCATGTGATAGAGTTATGTTTGTTGTAAACATAACTAAGCAGTTTATCTGAGATGACCGCTAGTGTAAATAAGCGTTAACGTTGAAGTAAGGTTTACGCTTACCATATATTTTTATATATTTAATAATTAAGAGTATACTAATATGTAAACCCTAAGAATTTGGTTTTTTGTCTTTTGGTGTTATAAATCTTCTTTTGGTATTCATAATGGCATAAGGAATGAGGAATCCTTAAAATGTGCTCCATAGCCGGTGTTAGTATATAATTATGAGTATGTTGAGTGGTGAGTATGTTCTGAGGCATCTCAGCAAAGTGTTAGAGCTTTCAGTAAGCGAGTATTATCTAACTGCCTCGGTGGTGTAGTGGCTAGCATGTACGGCTGCAGACCCGGAGGTCCTGGGTTCGAGTCCCGGGTCGGGCCAAGTTTAGTTATTGAGTCTTTCTGTATAGTAAGTCTCAGTAACAGCCCGGAGTTGGGAAGTTGGCGGTGTTTTACCCCCGTGCCTCGGAGAGCACGTAAAGCCTCGGTCCTGCGCCTTAACTCTCACTGGTCGTGTCGAGCAGTCGTCCCACCGGAGTATGACAGTGACTTAATAGAGAGTGCACTTGTGTCTGCGCGTACACGCGCTGCACTATAATATCTCCTGCGCAGTTGGCTAGTCTCAACGAGATTGGCCGCCGTGGCCGGAATCGGCCAGGAAGCTGAGAGAACATCATCATAATTATAATTTACTTATATTGTACTCTATAGGCACATAATCATAAGAAACTAAAAAAAGGTAAAAGCCTTAGGAAGCATTCCTTGCTGCCACTATAGCCATACTTTAAAATAGAATAGGAATAAGAAATTAAACCTTCTAGATGTATGTGAATGTAAGTATCTATACTAATATTATAAAAAGGTAAAGTTTGTGAGTTTGTGAATTGTGAGTTTGTGACGTTGTAGTGGGTAATCTCTGGATCTACTGAACCGATTTTCAAAATTCTTTTACCAATAGAAAGCCACGTTCTTTCTGAGTGTCATAGGCTATATATTAACCCGAAGAATGAAAATGCTTTTTCGTGGTAGTCGGATTTGCAAAGTGAGTCGGAGAAAAAACGGTCGAACGAAAACGTTTCTTACGAACGCTGCCTTAACCATGAGAGATATATGATTATGTTCTAGAGAAAAGTTGTAGAGCTTAATAATGCCTACAAAAAAGTCAGCGACAGCATATACGTAACTTTTATATTTAAGTCACAAAAAGTAGTTTTTTATATTAAAAAAATAATTTAAATCGGTAGGTCATGTTTATTGGTCATATTATCAACAATTTTGGAAATGTCATAACTTTTTTTATTATAGATATAGAATAAATACTAAATCAAATGTTTTAAAGAAGATCTTCGTTATTTAAAGTAATGTTTTGATTAAGGAGAACTTTCCCGATTTCCATCGAAAGTATGTTTTTAAAATATAGTATCGGACCTAGCAAGTTTTCGAAATGCATGTGAAGTCCGCCAATCCTCACTTGGCCAGCGTGGTGGACTATGGCCTGATCCCCCTCGTATTGAAGGGGAGGCCCGTGCTCAGCACAGTAGGACGTTAAAAAGGGCTGAATACATACATACATACAAAAATAGCTTTCTAAGCAAAAATTTGCCTTCTAAGTTATAGTTACAGAATGTGTCATATAGACCGTCGAACGGACGGAAACGGCGAAATTGTAAATAATTAATTTTGCCATTAATTAACTCTGAAACCAATATATATATATCTATACTATGACTCTCAGTCCCAGCAATTCACTGAGGCGTTACATAAAATAATAGAGTAAAATAATATATAATATAACCAAATACAACTCTATATAAAACGCATTTAAGTATTTATAATACGTTTAATATGAGAATTCTCATATCAATACACATATACAGTTATTTGTTAGTATCGCGACAGTCATCAAACGCATTGCACGTACTGAAATCGTAGTGGGGGAAAATAACACGTGTCTATGTTTACGAAAATAGTCCACAAGATTTAATTTATGGTGAGATTAAATACTATTTTACGTTTAATACTCGGATTATTCATATTTAAAAAAATAAGTTAGACTATTTTTTTTATATTTGTGATAAATTACTTATTTTATTTCGAAACTAAATATATTCTATGATGTAGAGCCATTTTAAAGTTGTAGTTAAAACAGTTTTTGTCAGGTAATATTTATTCAGTTGACAAAAGAAATGTATATTTTTTTCGTGAATTTGTAAGTACTAATATTATAAAATGCGAAAGTATGACTTACTCTTTACAAAGATCTGGAGAACCAGTTTTGATGCTTTTATGTGGAGGACGCTGTTTTATCTATACATATAATAAAATTGTAACTAAGCCGAAATGTACATTAAATATTTTTTGGAAAATCTTATCGAAACAGACATTATTATCGATACCGAGGCCGAATCTATAGCTTGCAGAATTTTTGTCTGTCTGCCTGTCTGTTACCGCATCACAGAAAAACCACTGAAGGGATTTTGTTGAAATTTGGTATGGTGATAGCTGGTTATCCGGGTCAATATATAGGAAGGATACTTCATAACGCGGGAAAATGTCTCATTTCTGAGAAAAAATACAAAAACTGCATTGTAAGAGTATACTAATATGTTAAACATAAGAATTTGGTTTTCGGTCATCTGAACGCGAGCGGAGCCGCGGGTAATGTTAATTTTTATATACAATCTGAAAATTTATATCATATGAAAGAAATTACGATGATCTTTACCGTAGCATATAGACTTAATCTGCATCTAATGAAATTGTTTATTCTCTACCTTTTAAACCGAGCTGCAAAAACGAGGAGGTTCTATGTTCGTCTGTATGTATATTTTTTATGTGTATGTTCACCAATTTCTCGGAGACGGCTCAACTGATTTTGCTAGTTTAACGGTATTGTATTAAGGTAGGTCCCATTAAATTTTCTTTGACATAGAGTATACCGTTTTCGAGAAAAATCAGGAAAACCCATGTAATATCAAACATGTTAACAGATTTATTTAAACTTTTTTACTTACTGTCATGTCGACTTCTGATGAAGTTTGATGATAGTATATTTAGTATCTTGGAGCTGATCTGGCACCGAATTTGAAAATATCTAATTAAGTAGGTATCTAAATAGTAAATGAAAACCGTTCAGTTAATTTTTACTTTTTAATGCCTGAAAGTCGATTTTTTAAGTTTTTATTAATATTGTATTAAGAATTAATATAGATTTTATTTTATCCCATGCAATCCTTTTATAGAGCGTCGATAAAAAATGCCTGTATTGCTCAAAAATATCAACGAATATACTTTTTGTGAAAATCTTTAAAATCGTTTACGTAATTATTAGATTTACGCAAATATTTCACATTTTAAATGATCAGATCGCGGTTTTATAGTAATAAGTAATAATATGTAAATAATAATAAGTAAGTGACGGTGACTCTCCCGTGACCATGTTTGCTGTAAAGCTTTCGAAACGTCAGGACAAAAGTTTAAAATAAAATTGCTACAAAATCCTAAAACGTAACTTACAAACAAACAAAAAAGCAAACAATACATATATGTGTTATTAAACGTTCGTTTTAGAGCAATTGGAAATTTGACAAAAAAAATTGTAAGTTTCAATTTGAGTCCTAGTCTAAGCTAAGCCCTACGTAAATTAAAAAAAAATCAACTATACTTTTAAATGGAACTCTGACGTGTACAATGAAAAAATCCCACACAAACGCACCTATACACTGTTCCGTACTATATTTTTTATCGTCCTACGCTTATTATGTAAACGAAAGATATATGTTTTATTACATAGATTATATATAATAAAAGTAAGCAAAGACAAGTTTTATAGATAATTTAAAGGTAGTTAAATTTATATTAATCAATTATCATGCTACCGGTTCCTGACGTTCGAGATCTTCCCTAAAGATAGCCATTCACGCTTTAGTTCATCAGCACAGTTAAACATTACACGTGTCTGTGCCTAACATATCCTAGCGTGTATAGGCATTTTAAATAATAAAACAAATAGAATAAGTACATTTAATATAAATATAACACCTTTGACGTCGGTTTTCTTTTAGATTTACATAAGGAGCTTTAAGATCATTTAAAATCACGCATGATTAATAAGCCTATAAAGCTTTATACGGTTTATCATGACGTATTACAACACGCATTACCATATAATTAGCAAAGCGCCTTACCAGTTATAAATAAATATAAATATCTAATATTAAATAATAGGATCTGTACATCGAAGAAATCTTCTCATTAGTAAGAAAGTAAAGAGTAAAAGTAATCTAATTACAATTTATAGGTTAGAAAACGTTTTACTAAGCGATATGCACACAGCCGTCTTCATTATACTGCCCAATCAAATATTGGCAACGGTCCGGTTCAAGTGTTTGTATAAACTCAATCTTTATTCGAGACTCAACTAAATGCTTGAATGGCATTCACGTAGAGCACTCTTGCTAATGAGTTAGCATTACAAGTGCAGTGGAGTTAACTAGTAACAAGTAGCGTTTCCAGTTCGATTTCCGGGTTATTTTGAAAACATGATATTAATAAGTGACGTATTAAAGTAATTATCCTCATAAAACATTGCGTACGTCGTGTAAAAACCACTAACCAGTTTTAATAAAACTTTATACATATAAAAATTTTAGTTTTCCTCATAAAACCTATAAAACTGAATAATAACGTGAATCTTAGTAAAATAAAATTACAAAATGTGAATGAAGTGTTAAAATTAATTACAGTGAATCAGTGGTATATTGTCTAACGGCTGACATATTGGCATTATAGCTGGTAAATAAGTATGGTAGGTAAAAATCAAAAATCGGCAATAAAACTAACAAAAAATATTATGCGTATGAGATGACCGACCTATAAAATACATTCAACCGTTCGAAAACTTCTACAAGCCACTGCACGAAACTACGAGTATATTGTATATACTTAGTAGGTATATTATAAACTAGAAAACGCATAACTAGCTCTGGTAAAAACCACGTAAGTCCCAAAGAGCAAAATTTTCATGAGGCACAGAACTATTTCATAGGTATAAAAAAAATTTTTGCATCATGTGGAAAGCATATTAACTTTTTTTTATATTTGATAAATTTTTGAAACAATTTTAGGTTATTTTGCAAACCATAATTAAAGCTCAAATAATAATTTACGTGATTCAATGCCTCTGCGGTAGTTAAATATTTCAACAAACTATTTTGCATTTGTTTAATATAATAGGCTAATAGATAGGAGATATCAAGTCACATTTTTGTTTCGTGTAAGTGTCAATAGTGTAGCTTAAGATTCAGACCAGTAGTCTTATTTTTACAGTAAACTAACAGAAAACATATTACATAATTACAGTAGATACATATATAACACACATATATATATATATAGCACATATAATATATATAGATATAATATAACACATTTTTTTGACGATATTTTATTAAAAATTTGAAAATCACTATATTTAACTTCAGTACGTTTAATTTAAGAGTGTAATGTAGTGTGTATGAGTGAGTCGAGTGTGATTTCAAAATAACGACTCCATTATATCATAAAGTGACAATGCAGTGTGCACTATATTTTTTCTCTCTAACTTTGGTTGATTTGAAATTTTTAGGCCTTATTCATAAAATAATAAAGACTCCAGTAAAATAAAATATAAACAAACGGACTCAACTAAATTTAGAAAGACTTGCGCGGGCGCATACAGATTATAACTTAGCTATTTCTTATAATATGTGAACCAAGAATACAGGATTAGGTTCTCTATAGCCTATAGGAGGTTTCTAAATCGCTTCTAACCAAACCAATGAATATTCTAAAAATTTTGGAATATTAATTTTTTGGTTTGGATAGAAGCGATTTGATTCTCATTTGAGAATCAAGCCCATGAACTCTAATTTAGTAAGAGCGCGAATTAGCGCCTGAGAAGCACTGAGCTCAGATGAAAATATGAATACACGTCTTACGTGTAGATTATTATAATTATCTTTCGTTCTAATATGGTTGTGTTGTTGTTCAATAATAAGGTCAAATGTCAATGAATATCTCAATATTATTTAATCTACGAATCGGCTTCTTAAGATATCGACGTGTTATGTTTCGACTCTATATAATATTTAGGTAATATATATATATATATATATATATATATATATATATATATGTATTTGCTAAAGGAATTCAATATTTTGAATTTTGAATGAAAGACTTCAAAATTTAGTAAAATATATGAAAAACAGCACAATTAATAAATATTATTTTTATACTCACATAATATGTACATAGGTATATATATACAAAACTACTTTATACGTATAATTCATTTAAAAATAGGTGAATTTTCTCATTAACTTAAATTAAATAAGTTAAATGTGTAAAGTGTGATAATTATAATAAATAAGAGAAATAATCTTATAAGTTAACTGGTAAATCCAAGTGTTTTTTTTTTATTTACTTAATAATGAAATTAAAATATATCGGTAATTTAAATGGTACTTTCTCTACACTTACGTACTTTAATTTAATTGATCGAGTAAATTTAAATTTACACCTTCAGCTTTCCCCGCTGTTACATACAGTGAGAGAGTTGTCTGAATAGGAAAACTGACTATACCATTGACAATATATAAATGAATTTAAAAAAAATATTCATATAAACATTTGTCTTCAGATGGGTAGTTGGATGAGTCATCTCCTGTGGGGTGGAGATCCAGATGCTATCAATACCGTATCTGGTTTATCCAAACGAGATATCTACGCCGTTCAGAAGTCTTGGGCGCCTGTCATGGCAGACTCAGTCGGTACAGGCACAGAGTTGTTAAAAAGGTACTCTAAAATGAAATCAATTTTATGCCCATATATAATAATTAGTTTTTATCATAAAATTAAATAATCACTCAAAAGATTTGTATGAGATAGTTAATTTTCAGTGATATGTTTATCTGTATTTATATTCGTATTGACTGATATGGATTCTGTATCATGACGTACATAAATATTTAACTACGTACTAAATCAAGGATTGTAAATTCGATTAGATACGGTGTAAATTATTAAAATCTAGCAAAAATCTGCAATAGGAAATAAGAATTTTTCTCCTATGTAGTTTAAAAAAGAGAGAAAGCAAAAAACATCAAAAATTATTATATTTCGTTTCATTATAACAATTTTTCATCTTTTCACTTTATAATTCAATAAAATTAACTGAATCACATTCCCACTTATTGTATGTCACTCATCAATGTACTTTGGGATGAATACAATCTTAAATTGGGTGTAATGAATAAATGAAGACGTGATCAAAGGCCAAGTATGAGGTAACCGTCTTTATCATATTTGGACGTGGTTATGTAAAATAGATCCAACCACAAAAACTTACTTTTGAGAAAATAGGAGTTTTAGTAAAATTGATATATCAAAATAACAAGACGTTTTTTATAACCCGTTATCTAGGTTACATGGTTCTATTTTGACTCTACGAAAATGCTGAATATTTTGTCAGTATCGTTAGCGCCTGTATGTTTCAAAAGAAAAAAGGCACTTTGCTGCTTGGATATTTTTTGCATATACTAAAGTTGATATGTAGGTGCCATCTATGACAGTAACTCAAAGAACGGTTTTTGTGGGCTGGATCCATTTTGCATATCTATGTCCATTTATGGTCAGAATATCTCAAAGACTAGCCTTACATTTTATTGCATCGGTACAAATTATTCATTATATTTTTTTTAATTGTATAGGCAAAGTTTATAAAGAACAATAAATGAATAAAAACTACTATTCTATAATTCATTATTCCTAATACTATTTTTAATACTGTTCAGATAAGGATTTAAATAGTACCTAATAATTTTATAGTGCATATTGGTATACTTCGTTTGTTTTGGGAATAAAAGATAATTATTATACTTTTCATGCTCAAATCTTACTTCTGCCTGTCTTATTTTTAGACTGAGATCGTATAGAGTAGAACTGACAAACGTTAGCCTGCAAAACTTAAAAGTATGTCATCAATGCACGCTTTCACTAACTTTAGCAATACAAAAAGCTATTTAACAATAAGGAGATATTTAAATATTTGGCGCATCACCACGGGCTTGGCTTTCTTACCAACTTTACTGTCTTGAAACCGGTTCCCTCAATACATATTAAAAGCTCAGACTAAAGTATTATATAAATGGAGCCGGCGAAAAAAAATATCAAAGTCAAAAGTTATGGAAATATAAATAACTATCGATTCACCCGCTCGGTTTCGTCCTTAGATACGTTTTAACGTTTAGTATATGCTACTTACAGATGAGGTATTTTCCCGCAGTACAAAGTTATATACTATATGTTGACCAGGATAACCAGCTATTATCATACCAAATTTCATCAAAATCTGTCCAGTGGTTTTCTTGTAATGTGTTCCCAGACAGACAGACAAAATTTTTAAAAAACTATAGATTCGGCCTCTGTATCGGTAATAATGACTATTGAAATAAGATTTTGCAAAAAAATAATTCATGTACAGATTCATCTCAGTTAGAATTTTATTACATTTATAGATAGACTAGCGACTCACCCTCGCTCCGCTCGGGTTCGTCCCTGGGGTGGGGTCTGGGAGGACCACCCTTATCCTTATCACTTAGGGGTATGGAATAAAAATAGATAGTAGCCGATTCTCAGACATACTGAATACGCATATAAAATTTGGTAAAAATCGGTAAAGCCGTTTCGGAGGAGTACGGTAACTAACATTGTGACATGGAAATTTTATATATTAGATAACGAATAATGAAAACAATGCTATATATCTTTTATATTTTTTAAGCATTACTTTTATTTCGTTTGAAAAAGAAAAGGCATACCTAATATTAGCATTTTTTTTCTATATTATAATAAAATCCGTTAGCTATTTTATTTATTAACATTTAGTAACTGGGCGACCGAGCTTCGCTCGGCATTTTTCGATGTAGATATAAAAATTGCGTCTTTTTCAAAATAAAGAGACCTATATCCCTGTTTTCCAATTACAGAGCATAATGCCGTACTTTGGTGCACAATGCCGAAGCGTGCTAATGCTTAATTGGAACGTAAATTAATTTTCAAGTGCACCAGCAGAGGGCCCTAAGTTCAGTGTTGACAGAAAAAAAATATAACTAATATGTATATAGTATATAATAATACATATCGTCGATATTATAAATTATATGATAAATATATAACTAATATATAACTAGTTATGATATATAATTATAAAAATAAAATATAGACAAACATTATAATTATATAAATAAATATTACTAACGGTAATGTAAATAAAATTTTGATTAATGCCACCTTGAAGAAAAAACACTTCTCATACTTTTTGTTATTGAGTTGGTATCCTTGCGCGCATCACGCCAAAGCAGTACTTTTCAAAAATCGAAATCGTTGGAACCGTTTCCGAGATACATGAAATTAGTTTCTATATTCATATATTAGTTAATATATACAAGAATTCCTCATTTAATATTATAATAATAAGATTTACAGCTTGTCACAGTAACGAGTATTCTATTAATATTTATATACTGTTTTAATTATAGTTTGGCTTCATGTTTAGATACTCCTAAGGAATAATATTTACATATAAATCATTAGCATCAATATATAAATATGATAATAATATGAAATTGTTGACTTCGTTCAATTTAATTTATGATGCATTAAAGTTTTACTGCCTATCCTATTTGAACAAGCAGATGTGATATAACAAAGAATTGTTTAAGCGCTTTTGTTTTCTGAGATCAAAGAAATACCATAAAGATAAAAATTCAACAAACCAATGGTACTATTTTATGAGGATGCTTTTGCCTAATAACTGCTCAATATCTCTATTTAAGTTTAAGCGTGCTTTAAATAGACAAGCGTGTATAGTCTGTCAAGAAAGAGTAGAAAATAATGGGGGCGCCACCATCGGGCGTTGGCCACACCATTTCCGGTATACTATAAAAGATTTTGATACTTTGATCAAATGCAGTTTTGAAAATGCACTTTACCTAGGCAATACCATACCAATATTCATTTCATCAATTGTAGCTGCGATTTTATTCGCTAAAAGGGTAAATATAATATATATGAATAAGTCATACACACAAATCATAATAATTTATTTTATAAAAGAGATTCTTCATCTAGGTATTCTACTCCCTCGACTCCCATGTTTTCATGGCTACAGGCTGTAGCCTACAGCCGGCGGCCTCAAAATCAGTTCCTTCATTTAAGTCTCCTACTCGCTCCATGTTTTCTTCCTCGAACTGTAGATTCAGATTTTCCTGATTAAATAATCCACAAAATAAGTACTTTCAAGTTTCATATTAATAATGTTGATTTAAAGCAAATGTAAAAATTATACTTTATTTGAAATAAGATTTAATTTAATATGTAATGAGTTTATGACCTACAGGTTACAATACAAACATGCGTTATGTATCAAATAATGTAAGTATCAAATAATTTATGCGGTCTATAACACAGCCTAAATGCGCTGTCATCGACGTTTGTAAACATAACCTAAGTGAAAAATGATTATTCTAAATATACCTATTATTAAGCTTGGTAGTGACCCATAATAGCTTTGGGTGGATGAATTATTATTTGATATAACACATTAAAACTCACAAATACCTGTCATTTCAGCGGTTCTTTTATAAACATTGTTCAGATCAGAAAGTATATTTTTGGCCTCATACTCCAAAAGACATCTTCTGTACACTCTATAAATTATTTCCCGAGCAGAACTTCCAATTGTTCTATTCATTTTCCTTACTTAAGACCAAATTTATCACGGTTTTTAGACTTTAATTTTTATGGAAACGAAATTGAAAGTTTTGTTTACGTAAAATTTCAGGAAATGTCAATTTTGTCAGAATGTTGCCACTATAAAAAAAAAATAGTTCCGTTTCTACACTTTCTTGACAGGCTATAAGTACAGAAACGGTTTTTTATCAACCTTATCAATTATCATTATTATTTTTCTTTTAATTGAATAGGTGCAATACGTATTTTATCTGTCTGTTTGTTCCGACTAATATCTGAAACAGCTGGACCGATTTTAACGGGATTTTCACTGGCATATAGCTGATGTCATGAGGAGTGACATAGACTACTTTTATTTTAGAAAAAGAATTACGGTTCTGCCCAAAAAAAATAAAACGTACCAGACGCACTTAGGATAATTCGCTAGTAATAATTAAAACGTCAGATTAATTATAAGCTAAGTGTCGAAATCGGAAACCACTGAACTATCTGACCAGAGAAGACTTTCAAATTGTAAAAATTTTATGGAAAACCTCGTGTATAAATTCAACACTAAGCAATGCGAATCAAATAAATACCATAACATACTCAATATAAAATAATTGCAAAGTTAATACGTTAAATATTAATGCTATTCAATTCATATTTATAACGTTATATCCCCGACTATCTTTCTATAGGTATTTCCGAGCATATCCAGAAGCAAAGGATTTTTTCCGTATGATAAGAAATGTGCCAGAAGATGAATTCAGTCAAAACCATCAATTTAAGGCGCACGTTATAAATCTTATGTCGGCCCTCGATCTGGCGGTGAGAAATCTACATCAACCGGAGGTGGTAGCAGCTATGATGACCAAGCTAGGAGAGTCGCATGGCAGGCGGAAAATACAAGAGAAAAATTTCCACGTAAGTTTTACAAACAATTTGGTAGCGTTTAATATTTAAATATATATATACTTATTATAAGTATTAGTATAAGTAGATAAAATATAATAAACGGTTAAAACCATGTCAATGAAATATTTATGATTTACGCGAATATTTGACATTTTAAATAAAACTATCTTTTTGAATTATTTTGCGGATTTATTAGTCTCTCCCGTGACCATGATTGCTGAAAAGCATTCGAAACATCTCGAACCAAAAATCAAAATAAATACGCGAAATAATCTGAAAAGATCGTTTTATTTAGATTTCTTATATTATCTTCATTTTAGATCTAATATAATTAGATTTTACTATCTTATTTTGATGCCACCGCGTAATAACTAATAACATGCTTTTAATCCTTATAAAAAAGAACCTTTGTCGATATATAGCTGAAACAGACGAATAATGGTTTTGTATGATGAATATGATTTCATAGATTTCCCATGCTAAGGGATTTTTCATACAAAGTACAAACTAACATTCAACTGTTGATCCCGCGGAATTAAATGTCGATTAACGTATCACGTTACATAAAAATCCATGCCGGGATTTCTGTTTAAATTGCATGCTATACATAGATTAACAGTTTGTAACGTTTTAAGACGAAGTTATACATAATCAATTTCACGAAAACAAGGCAATCCTTGAGCCAAATTTTATTGAATTCTGCCAAAGATTGACTGCGAAGATAGTAATTATTATTGATAATCTATAGTTACATTTATATTATACACTAGCATTGCCCGCGGCTCCGCCCGCGTTCAGATGACCAAAAACCAAATTCTTAGATACCTATTACATATTATTATACTCCTACATTGCAGTTTTAGTATTTTTTCTCAAAAATGAGATATTTTCCCGCAGTAAAAAGTATCTTATATGTTGACCAGGATAACCAGCTACCATCATATCAAATCTCATCAAAATCCCTCCAGTGGTTTTTCCGTGATGCGGTCACAGACAGACAGACAAAAATTCCACAAAATATAGATTCGGCCTCTGTATCGATAATAATGTCTATTTCAATAAGATTTTCCAAAAAATATTCAATGTACAGATTCGGCTTACAATTTTATTATATGTATAGATGATTAAATATACATTGGATTTCTTTATTTCAACTGTACCGACTTGTTTGTAAATATATTTTTTTTCAACAGGATTTAAAAGGTGTGATTGTGAAAATGTTTATCGAAGTATTGAAACTAGATGACAAGACATTAGGCGCGTGGGGAAAGACCGTCGATTTTTGGTTCAAACACATCTTCGAAACACTGAATTCAGGTGAAAATAGATAACATATTAAGATATTGAGCTAATATATAAAATCATTTGAATGACTCGACAATATTTACAATAGCTACCAATATATTAGTTATATGTATACGTATACTTCTTCATAAAAATAAAGTCAACTCTTACAACAGCTAATATCTTCAACAAGCTAAGACAAGCATTGAAATGCAAATTATAAACATTTGTCATGCGCAGGAGTCGACACCACGACCTACATTGTAGTAGACAATCCGATGATTAGTAAATCACACATACCTACTCTATGAGTCTATAGATACATATAATTCATTGAAGATGTATATTTCAAACACAACTTTCTTTATATTTGTTCAACCATTGTACAATACGCCCTACTATAACCAGATTAGTTATATAATAATTATTAATAATCTGGTATAGTGTTTTATTAAATGGACTTGTTGTATAAATGTAATTTAATATCAAATAATGCATTTAATAAGTTTATTGCTACTAATGATGCGTCCGTAAAGTAATTGTGGCACTCTGTAATTACATTAACCTGTATCATTTAAATTAAAAAAAAGAGAATATTTGTACTAATATAATGAAGAGATCAATATTTCAATATGTATATAACAGTTTTTTCTAGACGAACACAAAAACAGACATTTTAAAATAATTCTCTTTCATATTTATTTCCATAGTACAATATATAATTATACATACTAGCGTCCGCCAAGTGGTCGAAATTCCATGACCGTAATCATTTTTTTTTATTAACAACACTAAAGCTTGTCAACAGCTACTAAACAAAAAAAACGGTTGACAGAAGAGAAAAAGGTAGTAAGCTGTTTTGTCTTTGCCTATTTGTATATATGTACCTTTAGCACAGAAATATTTATATTTTTATATCTACATTATACACGTATAATGTTCAATGATACACGAGCTCGTATTTACGAGTATTATATATCTCATTACGATCATTCCGCCGTGATCTTGACGATATAATAATAAAATCGTTCTTTGATTGCGCTTGGTAAATAACTCAGAAGTTATATGACAGTTCATGTAAATACATATTTACTAGCATTGCCCGCGGCTCTGCCCGCGTTCAGATGACCAAAAACCAAATTCTTAGGTTTTACATATTAATATACTCTTACGTTGCGGTTTTTGTATTTTTTCTCAGAAATGAAATATTTTCCCGCGGTAAAAAGTATCGTATATGTTGACCGCTATCATCATACCAAATTTCATCAAAATCCCTCCAGTGGTTTTTCTGTGATGCGGTCACAGACAGACAGACAGACAAACTTCTAAAAACTGTAGATTCGGCCTCTGTATCGATAATAATGTTTATTTCAATAAGATTTTTCAAAAAATATTTAATGTACAGATTCGGCTTAGTTACAATTTTGTTATATGTATAGATTATTCGTTAAAATAGAGGCTATTTAAAATATATAACAAAGTATTCACTTAAATATAATATATTGAAATCTAAAATATATACTGTATTCTAAGCGCACAAGCGGCCTAACTCTCACTTTTACAAAACTACACACCTTCGTTTCTTTTTTTTATTTTAATATTGTTGTATAAAAATATGTATATTATACATTATAATTTTTTTTAGGGTTAGACCTCTTTTGCGCTGAACCTCCATCAATATGACTTCCATTATGTATGAACTTGTACATTTAAAGGTAGATTTAAGAATTTCCAAAGATTATTTTTATTATTTTTTATTTTCATATATAGTTTTAGAATTGTACTGTTGAATCATGAATGTAAACATATCATTGTAATTAGTTATGTTAATGACACGTTATTCTATAAAAATATTAATGTTATTATATTTAATAGTGACATCTAGGAATCCCTGTGGTAATATGTAGAAATGAAAGAAATAAAATTTATTTTGTTTATACTGATTATGTATTTTGATTTCATTCAAACCGCTATATTGGTTTGACTGACCGCTATATTTTTTCAAATATTTCTTTCACCCAAACCTTGTCCTGACAATGAATTACAAACATAACAAAAAAAATATTAGCCAAATAGATGTAGCCGTTCTGAAATAATTCGCTTACATACATTTGACAATGGTTTTTATTTATATAGATACAGATATGTGCGAGGAAAAATTAGAGAGTGAAAATAAGAAAAGGGGAAAAAAACACTCAGATTGCCCCCTGCCTCGTATTTCAAAGAGGATTGGAGTGGAGCAAGACATTGTTTTTTTTTTAGATATTTTTTTTATTTGTAGTTTGTATGCTTGTACATATGTCCGAGCCTTTGTTCCGTTGTAATTACTGAACGGCTTAACGGCTTTTGACGAATTATAATGTCGTAAAATATCATAGGGTGTATTAAAATCATAAAAATATGAACAGGTGGATTTAAGGGGACATTTTGGGCGTATTGTTTTTTTTTTGTTTCAAAATAAGTATTGTAAAAATAGTGACTAACTACTCGAAGCGAGACGGTACTTCCGTTTATATTTCGGTGTTTTCAATCAATGAGTAAAGTCACAAAGTGGTCTTTGAAAACATATAAAAATAAAATAAATTAATATTTGAATGAAAAAGAATATGATAGTCTTGCAGAAAGACCTACGTGCTTATAATGTTTATAATAGAAAATTAGTTCTAAACAGTAATCAAATCGCAAAAGGGGTGCGATACTCATTATGATGCAATAATTCTGTGGCACTATGTGCAGTATTCTAGTCAGTCTATCTACTGTATCGATAGCATAGATAAGGCATTTTATTTTAAATATGTTGGGACATAATCGCACAGCACCATCTAGTTCCATGGTAAGCTACGAGGCTTGTGTTATGGATACCAGATAGTTGATACACTACATATATATAACTTTAAATACATACATATCATAAATATAATAAGTGACTGGAGTGCAAACATTCGTACTCATCACACAAATGAATGCACCCAGTGGGACTCGAACCCACGACCGCTGGCACAGCAAGTAGGGTCACTACAAACTGAGCCAAACGTGTCGTCAGACGATATAGTAGCTAAGCCTCTATGTTTATGGTATTCCAGCAGCGTAGCAGCGTTCCTTAATTGGTTAATCGATGATAACTATCAATAACGATTCATTGTTCTATTATTATGTGTAAAATGTGCTGATTTCCAGTAGAATACTGATTAGATAGGTAGCTCAGAAAATGTCAAACTACGATCTAGATATTAAAGAACTAATTGTCAAATAAATTTCATAATTGTTCTGTTTTCAATAGTTTTACTAATAATAATAGTACCACGTGGTGTTTGTTTATTTGATATTTTAAACAGAAAAAAGTTTTCTGAAAGCGTAATGACGCTAATTTTTATTTGGAAAAAGGAAGGTTTCAACGCGATAGGAGGGTAAAAGTTACAAGGGACTTTATGTATATTGGCTCAGTTATTTTGTTTCTGAACTGTTGGAGTCCATACTTACAATATAAAATATATAAACATATAGTAAAATTTTAACTGAGTCGAATCTGTACATTAAAGATTTTTTGGAAAATCTTATTGTAATAGTCATTATTATCGATATAAAGACCGAATCTATAGTTTTTAGAATTTTTTACATATTGGTATACTCTTACAATGCAGTTTTTGTATTTTGTCTCAGAAATGAGATATTTTCCCGCGGTAAAAAGTATCCTATATGTTGACCCGGATAACCAGCTATCACTAATCCAAATTTTATCAAAATCCCTCCAGTGGTTTTTCTGTGATGCGGTAACAGACAGACAGACAAAAATTCTAAAAACTATAGAATCTGCCTCTGTATCGATAATAATGTTTATTTCAATAAGATTTTCCAAAAAATATTTAATTTATAGATTAGGCTTGGTTACAATTTTATTATATGTACAGATATTATTAGTATATTAGTCTTAGTATAGACTAACGACTAACTAGTACTAAACTTAGTATCAATTGACAATCCACCTATATAAAAATTGTAGAGTACTTTAGGATGATTTGTATAAAGTTTTATTTTAATTTTTTGTTCCCAACGTTTCGAATACTTTACAGCAAGCAAGTTTATGACATAGACTTAGGTTTTTGATATCTCAAAAATCATATTTATTACACACGGTGTACCTATATCCATAAAAATATGCAATAATTTGAAGGAAAAGAATAATGGCACCGAATCGCCTTACAATTTAAAAATTTTGGGGAGGAAGATCATGAAACCCATTCAGAATGCAGCCTTTCTTTTGTTCACGAGAAAATCTGATAGATAGAGTATATAAAATGTTATTGATAAATGAAAAACCGATAGACGTTATGCATAGTTAGTGCCACTCCTAGTCCATAAATCCCACGTCAATGATAGGTGGTACTGTGCTAATGCATTTTTCAATATTAGAACTTAGAAAGTCGATCATCATAGTTATTTATTTTATTTATACTTATAAATATGTATATCATAACTACTAAGGAATAAAAGTTTACCTCATATTATTTTATCATACGTGTCGTGACTCGTGAGAGAGTCGGGAGCGGGAAGTGTTTCGTCTCTGGTCAAGACGAATGTGAAATGTAATTAAGCAGCCTTATTGAATATGAAATATATGTATAGCGCATAGAAATTGCTAGAGTCCCATCGCGTGTTAGAGAAAACGTGATGAGAATTCTTAGGCATTGCCTAGTGAGCTTTAGATCCCTTACAAAATGACACGCTTGGTTTACGTAATATAAGTTTTTATCCTAATTTAATTATTCATCTCGAAAACTGTGTGTACCGCAATAAAAAGTACGCCTTCTCTTGATCCTAAGCTATTTCTTTGTATATACTACAACTATTACTACTTGATAGTTGATAGTAATCAATCTGTTGTTTTGTAGAAGAAGGACATTTTTTTTTAATATTGCTCAAGACTTTTCTAAGGAGAATGTGTTTTTTTCACAGATCATATAATACTATATTACTGTTTATTTATATTGTAATGATATGTTTAGCCCGATGCGACGTAGCTGTTAGCTTCCCTGTTATGTTATGT